AGCATTGTTGCAAGTGGACAATTTAATCTGTACATACATTTTGGGGGGCCACGTATGTCTGTAAAACAGGACAGATATCCCAGTGAGGGTGGTGTTGGCCGTTACCTTCCTTGATTGAAGGTTCCTGATGCCTGTGATCTGATGCAGGTGTTCCAAATATAGGCACCAACATCAATCGATGTCATTTAATTCATTTCTCATTTTTAATAACTGAAGACCATACACCAGAGTCCTGACATTTCCTTTTCCATGCCAAATTTTCGTGCTTTGGAGACTTCTTATCCAGGAAGTGAAGGTCTCTAAGAATCCTTATCTCCACTGTATATTCAGAGAATGGTGGCCTTAGGGTAAACTGTCCTTGGGCTTTGAAGCTGGGATTTCATAATTGTCAGTACTCTAAGAGAAGCTCAGGGCATCTGCAGATGGCAGTGCTGCCTAAGTTCATGGTGGCCATTCTGAACCCTTCCTTTGCTATCTTCTTGAAGGCTAGAATATTTTGGAACTTTGGGGTGAACCCTTGGGGAATATGGTGAAAGCTATGACTTCCTACTCAAGAAAAATGCACAAACAAATTTTCCATTCAATTACAGAGGAATTCAGCGGTCCCTTGAAGCTCAGGATGAAGAACCTGTTTAGAAGTGAAAAAGGCAAGTTAGGTTTGGGAGGCCTCTGTCCTTTGTCTCCAAACTTCCTTCCCTGCGGTGCCCTTGAGTTGCAGACCCTGCTTGCTGCACAGAGGTAGGAAGGAGCCGGAACTTTGATTTCAAAGACATTTAGGACTGCAACTCCACTGTCTCTCCACCAATTAGCCGAGTTAACTTGGGTAGTTTTTCCACTCCGAAAAATGGGTTCTGATAATCCACACCTTTGCATACTCCCCCTTTTGTTTGCCCTCTTTCAGCTTTATTGGCCTTCTTGCTTATTCTTGAAATATCTGACCTCTTTCCTGCCTCAGGGCCTTTGCACTTTCTGTTTGCTGTGCCTGGAATGCGCATCGCCTCATCTTCACGTGTGTTAGCTTTCTGTGACTGTCAGAAATACACGAAACAATCAACTTCTGAAGAGAAAAAGTTTATTTTGTCTCACATTTGTGGAGGTTTTAGTTCATGAACAGTTGGCCTAGTTATGTGTGAGCCTGTGGCAGGGCCGCACATTTTGGTAGGAGCATATAATGGATCAAAGCCACTCATTTCATGGCCAGGGAAGCAAAAAAAGAGAGGAGGAGACCAGGGTTCCCTGATCATCTCCAAGGCCATGTCCCTCAGCGACCTGTAGACCTCCCTCTGCACTGCACCTCCGAAAGGTTCTACCACCTCCCAAGTGAGCCAAGCAGGGGACAAGGCCTTTAACACAGAAGCCTTGGGGGGACGCCCCAGGCCCAAACTGTAGCAACGGATGACCAGTTCCTTCTCCCTTCTCATTCAAATGTTATCTCTTCCTGAACTCTTCTTCTGACCGCAGCATCTCCACTTAGAAGTTTTAAAAATGATTCAGTGATTTTTATTCACAGCATTGTGCACTCAGCACCACTATTTGCCTCCAATCTACTATCTAATTTTAATAATGTTTCATCACCCTAAGAAAGAGCCTTCTCATATCTATTAGCAGTCACTTCCCGTTCCCTGCCTCCCACCCCCAGCCTCTGGCAAGTACCACTACACATTCTCTCTTTACAGAACTGCACATTCTAGATATTTGCTATGCATAGAATCATAGACTTTGAGGTATGATAAAAATATGGTTGATGTTTAAATTAAAAAGTTTATTACAGTAAAAGACACTTTGCCATTAACCTCCCTCAAAATACTCCCCCTCACATTGCCCTGCCATTTTCTGAAGTTCTAGAAGTCCTTTTTATGTGTGTCTTTAGCTGTGCTCTGTGGCTGCCTCAATTTACTGAAGCAATTCAAAACACTTACCTTTCATGGTCATTTTGATTTTGACCAGAAGTCTCGTGATGCCAGATCCAGTGAAGAAAGTGGATGCAGACACATTGTAATATTTTCACAAGCCTACCTTTCTGTTGGATGCTCCTTGGTAGCAGTCCTCACCATATTTTTGATCATATCCTGTAGAGACACCCAGGAGAGCGAACTTCTAGAACTGCTTCAGGAGGTGGCAAGAATAATAGGATAGGTGTGACCCAAGTGAGGGAGAATATTTTGAGGGGAGGTAATGACAACGTGTTGCTGTAATAAATTTTTAAATTTAAACAGTCACTGTATATTTTGATCGTGCCTCATTACGCAGCTTTTTGTGTCTGGCTTCTTTCACTGGGCGCAGTGTTTTCAAGTTCCATTCATGTTGTAGCTGGTGTCAAGGACTCATTCATTTTCATGACTGAATAATACCCTGTTTCCTATTATTCCTTTTTGTGATCATTCGTGTTAATGCAGATTTGGATTGTTTCTAGTTTTTGCTGGTGTGAAATACGCTGCTTATGCATCAGTCTTTCTGGATTGTATTACTCTTTGTTTGCTTGTTTATTTGCAGCCCTGGTTTATTTATTTAACATGTTTATTTTTTATTCTCTCCCATAGAATATAAGCTCCAGGAAGGCAGCGACCTCGTTCGTCTTGTGCACTGCTGTATCCCCTGGGCCTTGTATCATGCACAGCACATAGTAGACAATAAATACTTGTGGAATGAACAAATGATTGAGCTCTGTTGTTATTCTCCATCTCTTAGTGGATTTTGTCTTTTCCTTCAATTTATGTGGGACTCTTGCTGTGCTGATCTCGGTCTCTTTCACCTCTGAGACTTCTCACCAGCTCTAGTTCTTGCCCTATGATATTACTGCACCATGCTTAGGCATTCCCTGAGGTGCAGGACCTCTACTGTCCTAGCATAGTCTCAAACTTGAATGTGTAGCAGCCACACTTGGAGAGCTTGTGAGGATGCCCTTCATGGGCCCTGGTCCTGGAGTTTCTGACTCAGAGGTTCTCCATGGATGGAGAAATTTCCATCAAGATCCCAGGCTGCTGATGCCACCAGTTGGCAGTCCATGGTGTGAGACTCACTGCTGTGGTGGGGTGGACTTCTGCAGAGAGGCTGGGGCTACTGAGCTCATAGGTGGTCTGTGTGGGGCTCTCCCAAAAGCTCATCTTCCTTCTCTGTCTTCCTGTATGTGGATTCCGAGGGTGCTGCTTAGCTGGGGATATCTAGGTATACCCTAAAATATGGCACTATCACTTGTGGGTATGTAGACTGGGAAAAATGCTCTCTGATTGAAGAGGAGGGCCTGTTAATTGTAGCGTGGTTCACAGGGTTCAGGGAGCTGTTGACCTTCTAGATGTCCATAGTCAGGGAAGTGGTAAGCAGAGCTGATGATCTCCTGGACTGTAATGAAGCAGCTGGCTGTCTGTAGCTGGCATACATTTGGTTGGTCGGTCCCTCCACCTTACTTGTTGTTGCATGTGGAGACTGTCATCCTTGCAGGTGAGTGAAATTTGGGAACTGCATACAAGGGGATACTACGCAGTGATTTTGAGGGCTGAAAGAAATGCACATGCAGCAACATCGCTGAGTCTCCTGTTTGCATAAGCAAATGGAGAAACACTGACGTATATGGTTAAAAACACCATTTATGTAAAACAAAAGATGCACAACACCTGCTATGTCATAGATCTTTTAGGGACATTAATATACTTACACATGCAATAAAGGCTAAAGTGGATAAGTGTATTGGTAGGCCTGATTTTCGGGTGTGTTTCCTGTTTGGCAATTGTCTTTCCTCTGTTTTGTATGCAAACGCTGAACTTGTAAGCTTACATCTAATTGTGAAGGTCATTGGTACAGTTTGAATTTTGTTCCCATCTGAAAACAAGAAAATCTAAAGCAGCGCAAAACAGACTAGTTCGATCCTTGCATCACAACTTTCTAGTGGTGTGACTTTGATCAAGTTTATTCACCTCCGTGAACTTTTGTTTGCTCATCTGTAAATGAGTAATAATTTTTATAAAGTATTTGTCTGCTTTCTTAAGACATGTAATATGATTAACATAGTGACTGGCTTATGGTAAGTACTCACTAAATGTTAGCTGTTGTTTCAAATATTGGGTCATTGCTATACATGAAGTGATGAAGTGTTGGCATCTGTGTTAGACATAAAGGAAGAACTAAATCTATGGGGAGGAGACAAGATACATGTATTTATCGTTAACCCACTCAGCAGTTTATGGGGTAGATAAATACTGTTTTTTTATTTTATTTTAAAAATAAAAGGAGGAAAACATTAACAGACAGACAACCTTTTACAAAATAGCAAAAGAACAGTACAAACAATACAGAGTTACAAACAAAGTGGTAGGAAATTAACAATGCTTGTTGTATTACATATTGATACCTTCAAAGTGGTTTCTCATGAAAACAAATAGAGACATGCAATATTGACCAATCAAGGACTCATTAACAGTTTCTTTCAGCAAAGAAATAGAAGACAGTAGATTAACTATGTTAACTATCCTGTATATACATACATACAAAATTTTTCCTTTCTCTTCTCTTTTCCCACATCCCACTTGCCCTTTAACCTTGAGCATTTTTCTATCATTTCACAATGTATATCATACCTCCGAGTTTATATTAACTCTTTCAGGTTGTACACTAGTGAGACAATGTGGTGCGTGCACATGCAGGTCTGATTTATTTCATGTATGAGTATGGTCTCTAGTTGTGACCATTTACCTATAAAGGCCTTGAGTTTATCTTTCTTTATAGCTGAGTAATATTCTGTTATATAAAAGTACAGATAAATACTGTTACCACACCACTGTTGTGACGAGCTTGTGAACGAACCCATGTGCAGTCATTATGTACTCTCTGATTGAAGTAATTTTATTTGTTGCTTGTATGTTTTTTTTCTGTCCCACTCTCATGTGGAATGGTGCCTCCATGGGGGGAGTGACTTTGTCTTTTGTGCACAAGGACACTGCTTGGCCCACGGCAGGTACGTGACATTGTGTTTAGATTTAACAGATTCCAATTCTTTCTCCTTTCAGGGCACTTGCAGACGTCATGAGGCCACAGGGCCACTGCAACACTGATCACATGGAGAGAGACCTTAACATTGTTGTTCACGTCCAGCACTATGAGAACATGGACACAAGAGCCCCCATAAACAATCTGCGTAAGTACAGCTCCATGGACCATTTCTAGTTGCACATGGTGACCTGTGCAGTGGTGACTTTGCCAAATTTCATGGTGTTTGTTTGAATCAGTTAAGAGCTTCTCTTTGTGGATGAGTTAAATATTTTATTTTCTCTTTACTATATGAGACTGAATTTGGCATGATCAGATTTCATGTGGTTGTTTTCTGTTAAATAGGATCCTCTTCACTGGTTTCTTATGGTTGGCTTTTCTGTTAACTAGTAGACAACTTGATGGACTCATCTTGATCATTCTGTTAACTAATGGCCCTCTTGATTTGTTAATCGTGGTTGGGTACTTAGTCTCTGCTTCATTTTGTTGGTTTATTTTGACTATCACCTCTTAGACAATAGTTCATCCACTTGACTGTCTGACTCCTGAAGTAGACCAGTTGATACTTTTCATTTAATTGAAAACTTATATTTAATTGTTTTCAATGAAATGCAAGTTCAAAAGATTAAAACTAGAGTTTTATAAAAACAGTGCACAAAACGCTCTGTGTGTGTGGAAGGGGGCAAATATTGACTTGTGGTCTTGATGGTTTGGAGTAAGCATGCAAGATTCAACAGTAGCAAATCTGGTTCCATTGTTCTACCAGGGGGAGAAAGCTGCTTTTGCTACTGCTTTTCAATAGGTCTTTTTCAGCAGCCAGAGCATACATGGGGATCTTGGTATACTCCCAAAGGATTTTTCCCTTTTAAAGGTCTGTATATACAATATACATTATGGAGCTGATGTTCTGACTAATGGGACTAATGGGAGTGTAAGAAAAATAAGATTGTTTAGTTTTTGACAATTGCATACTACTGTGGTTATTCCTGGTAATTATGTTTTCAAGTAACCCCCATATTAAAGTAATGTGGAGGGCTTGGTTTAAAATAACAAAACCCAGACAATTCAGAAGATGCATTTAGTTATGGCTGAAGCTTCCTGAAAACAGAAACTACTTTGGTGCTGCACATTTTTACAGTCTGGGTGTCCTTTGCTGGAGCTCTGCTGGAAGTTGCATGGCTGTTTTATTTGCTGAGTCATAGTCTTGGACTGTTAGGAAGCAAATTTGTATGTTCAAGAGGTCCAGGAAGAAGCCTGCAGAGTTTAACCTAGGTGAGGTGAATTCTCTGGTTTGGCGTGGTGATAATTCTTTGTGATTTTAGAAATTGTTGCTGTATGTTAGCAAAGTCAGGGTTTACGTGGGTTGAAAAATGGATCACCAAATGGGATATTTTTATTGTATTATATTAAATAAGTTGGCATTATTTATTTATGAATCAGATAATAAAAGTAGTAGAAATAGCCACGTTTTAGAGCAAAATATATCAGCAGCTGGAGGTTTTATGACCAAATGCACATCCCCAAAAGATGTAGTAAATTACACCCACTTTTACATGGTGATTGCTGTGTTCAGTTTTGGTTTTGATGGAAATTAACACCTTCTCTTTCAGATGGCACCGATAGTAAACTGAACATAGATGTATGTGTGTCCCAAATATGTTGAACATAGTTATGGAGCAGAGATACTGACATGGTACAGGGTTCCTGGCTATTAGAAATGTCTGCTCATAGGTTTCTCACTTGAAGTTTCAATCTCTAGGATGATTTTGAATCACTGTCAAATGAAATAACAGATTCATTGAAGTTATCCAAGTTTCATCATTCCATCAGGTGAAAGGTCAGGGAGACATTACTGAATACAGCTTAAATAGGGGACTTTTGTTTAAAGTTACAATGAAAATAAATTACGGCTCAGAGATAGATGTTTAGGTACTAAGTAATTCACAAGTATCCTGTGGCAGCCTACCTTGATTTATTTATGATTTGTGGTTTTGGTCTATATTTTTGCCTTAGTAATTGGTGGTCTCTTACAATAAGGGATAAAGTGTCTTATAATAGTCTAGTGAGTGGAACTATACTGGAACATTCCTGGTCAACCTCAGGGAGTAATGTCACACACAGTGTGTTCTTATAAGAATTGCTACAGTTGCTAATCTCATATAATATTGTCACGTTGACCCAGTCCTTTTTTTCTAGCATTTTTGAGACTATCTGAATCAAGAATAAGAAGCATGTAGCATGTCATAGATTTATGTCATTAAATTTAATTTATGTAGCATATCAACTCAGTAGTTAATAGTAATAAGCATAGAGTTTTCTGGTAATAGCTTATCCTTTTATTCATATACAGGAGCTAATTACATATTATAGACAGAAAAAATTTTATATTTATTCTTTATCTTCTGAATACTGACACTAGTTCACACATTCTGATCTTTCCTTTATGCTTGGGTCAGATGATAAGAGAATTAACATCTAACGTTGAAAACTAGGTGTTTGGAAGTGATGGTGGGGGGATGGAAAATAACTTGGGCAAAGGCAAACTAAGAGGAAAGGGCTCCCATAAGGGCCAGTTTTTGCCAGCTTTTCTTAGTAAATTTTTTGGAGTTGATTTTTCCTGGGATATGCAAGGCTTGCCTTTTTAAAAAAATTTTCTTTTTAGAGATAAAAGAACCAAAACATATTAACAAACACAGACATAAATAAAACAACCTAAAAACAATATAGAATTTCAGATGAAGTGGAAAGAAATTAACAATGGTTGCTGTATTACATACTGTTATCTTCATATTGGTTACTCTGATAAACAAATACAGACATGTAAGAATGATCAAACAATTAACTATCAAGTGTTCCTTTCAAAAAGCAATAGAAGGGGCTGGGGATATAGCTCAGTGGCATGAGTGCTTGCCTGGTAAGCCTGAGGTCATGAGTTCAATTCCTGGTACCGGAAAAAAAAAAAGAAAGCAATAGAAATTAATAGTACAATTATCCTGGCCATCTTGTATGTGTATATATACACTCCCTTTCTTCTTTATTTTCTCATTTCCCTCATCCCAGTCAAGACTTGCCTTTGTATCTAAGGGTGGATTTTTCTTCAACTGATCCTGTTCATGTTCTTTCCAGGCATTCAGTGATATTGCCTAAAAATATTTAGGCTGATAATCAAAAGGACTTCGACCTCTTTGATTAACAGGATGTAGATTCCAGTGAGATAGTGATTTTCTGCAAAATGCTCCTCAGCTTCTGTATAATTATAGTTTGCTTTTGATGGCACATTTTGTCCTTAAGTTCTACGAACACACTCTGCCTCTCCTGCTCCAACCTCCATTCAGTCTTCTCCAGGGTAGGAGATGTGGATGAGGGGCTGTGGATAAAACTGGACCCATGTTTTCCAACTTGCATTATCACAATTTTTGAAGTGGAACTTCTGTTTTGGAATAATCTTTTATTTACATAAAAGCTGCAAAGATTATACACAGAGTTCTGCACACCCCTTACCCACTTTCCCTAATGTTAAATCTTTCATGGGCCTTTTGGCAGAATTAGGGAATCAGCGCTAGTAAATTCTTTTTAGCTAAATATAGACGTTTAAATTTCACTAGTTTCTTCATTCATCCCTTTCTGTTTCAGGGTCAAATCTGGGACACCATGCTGTCTTTGACACAGAATCTTGTAATGGTACAATTTTAGTTATACAATATAGTAGTATAATGATGTGGTAAAGATAGAAGACAACACTGAATAAACCTATTGCCACAATACGAAAATGGTCTCCCAGCATCTATAAGAACATCCACATAAAGTTACTTACTTGGTCGGTATTGGAGTTGGACCCATTACTGCCTGGAACATATTTATGGGACAAAATACTTGTATGTCTCTGTACACATGCAACTCTACTTTGGCATTTGGTTGATGTCACATTATTTTATAACATAATGTGGGCAAGTGAGGTCTCCTCCAAACTGAGGACAAATGCTAATTTGATGTCTTAGGACACAGACTCCATTAGAAAGAGCAGGCTTCTATATTCTAGCCTCACTCCCTAGTCTCCTAGGATGATTATTTTTAAGTAGATTTACAAGATATCAAAAATCAGATTCCTAACTGAATATCTGAAGAGTTTATGAAGCTCATATTGAGGTTCATTCATTTATCCATGTTCACCAAGGTGCCTGAGATATCCTATACTTGATTTTTGGAAATACCAGCGGGGGTATTTCCAAATACGTTTACAAACTGGGGGAAATTTCCTACCCATGGAAGGCAAAAAGCTAAATATAGATATCAGAGTTTATAAAAACAGAAAATGCCTAAAGCAGTATAATATTAACAGTGACTCCTATGGATAGCTTTAGAAAGCCTCAACACAAGTAATCCTCAAAACCTATTGTTTTCACCATCATAAAGATGGGGAAACTGGGGCTCAGAGAAGTTTAGTGACCTGCCTAAAGTTTGTATAGATACAAATTGGTAGAACTGGGATTTAAATCGATCCAGTCAGACCCCAAGGTCTGTGATTTTAATCAGCAGCTCTATAGTATGTCTTGTGGTACAGGTGTTTGCAGAAAGTGTATGTCTTCATGATAAGTGAGTGGAAGCATCCACTGGCACTCTAGGAAAGAGATCTGTTTCCAAAATGTGCATCTAACTTATCTTGTCGGAGCCTTGTCTCAGGAGGACTAGCATTTATTGAGCACTTGCTGTGTGGCAGGCACTGTGCTAAGTGCTTTGAAAGTATTGGCTGATGTAGTACTCAGGACACTTCTCATATAGCCAACCTTGTTTCTGCCCACATCATGTGGCTCCCAAGCTTCTGTGAATCTGGCTTCTTCACTTGAACTTCTTACCCAGATTGCTATCTCCTTGGAAAGGCCTTTCTTGCTTATCTCTGGCCCCCAAGTCATCAGCTGTTCCCCATTTTTGCATAATTTTCTTTACAGCATTTTGTTTCCTCTACAATTGTATATTCATTACTTTATCCATGCTTTTTCCATAATAGTGTGAACTCCAGGAGGAAAATGCTTTGTACTGTCACAGCTGTACTCCCTCACCAGGAACAGGACTGGGTTGGGGCAGCAACTCCGTAGGTGTTTGTTCGATGAGTGAAAAGCCTACGGGATAAGTATCATTGTTCCCATTTTA